AAATTGATTACGCACGTGAGATTGAGAAATAAGAAAATATCAATAGAATATTATAAAAGATAATAGAGAGAGAATAATTAATTATATATATAAATATAGAATTGAAGATGATCGAGTGGCTTTTTTTTAATTTTCACGATAACTTTCAAGATTAAAATTACTTTGTAATTTTTTGGAAACATACAATGAAATTAAATAATAATTAATCCAATGCTAATAAAAATAATGTTAATATTTAGTAATACATTATAACTAAAAAATAAAAAATAACAAAAAAAAACGTTTTTAATTTGTTAAATAATTTTATTAAATTTAATTTTGCCGTTTATTTCCTCTGTCTTTTATATGACTTTCGACAGTTAAATTTTTTAAATGCCTGCTCAAGAAGTGTCTGTTGCACGATTAACGGTATCTATAACGGGTTACGAAATAATTTAGACGCTGCAAAGAGGTCAACTCTCTGTTATTATCCATTTGTCGATCAAATATCCACCAATTTTTGCAATAACTATGCATTTAATATTTAGTATATTTAATTTTTCGAAGAATGGAGAATTTATTGTATATATAATGATACGTCGTGAAGATATAGAATAGATTTCAGAGGATTGGATGTGCACTCGTTCGTGGGAGATCTTTCAATTTCCAAGTAGAGTTTCTAATCCCGGGATACCGAATCCCGGGATCTCGGGATCCCGATCAATTTTACAATCTCGAAAATCCTCGGGATTCATCACCATAAATCCCGAAATTTCGGGATTTGCAGTTTCAGTAATTAATACTTATATAATATATTGATGTATACAAAAATTATACTTTAATAATTATTTCTAGTTTATCATTATCAATTATCAATATTTTTAATTGATATTTTAATGTGTTTATTAAAGATATATTTAATATATTTAATGTGTCCATATTTAAAACTTAGTTCCGAGTTTTAATATATATACATTAAGTATATATGTATAAGTATTTTATTCGTTTATGTTCCTAAAAAGTTTCAGAGTGTAATGTTTTATATTTTTAAAATTTTCAAAGTTGCGAGTTGCAAAAAGTTATTTTATTTTATTATTTTTTTTAAAGATTTCTTCTAATAAGTACATAAAAATAACATAACATAGTTATCTTTGATTTTAGTACTTAAAAATGACAAATTAGTAATTAAGAGGATAAACATAAATTTATTTTTTTTTGTTAATTAATAAAGTTATAATTTCTTAAATATTATTATTATTTTTGCTCCATATGTATAAACCCGGGACTAGTCCCGGGATCCCGAGATTGAGTGCAAAAAATCCCGTAATCCCGGAATTTTAAAATGTCTTCGGGATTGGAAACTCTATTTCCAAGTAAACGTATTGTTGAACTAATCGCGTTGCGAGCTCGGTAGTTTCATTAACGAGGATTTTGTGCAAGATTGGTAATGAGTCCTGCGTAGATCGATAATATGTTATGTTACGTTGCATTTATCGCTTGAAACAAAGCGATATTATGCCATATTAAATCGTATGAATTGAAAATGATTAAAACGACATGCACATATGTTTCCATTGTATTATCTTCCGGTATAAAATGTCATACTAGTAATGTTCAAATGTGAGATTACAAGGTACGGGTGAAATATTAATATCCGAGAATATTTAATAAAGTATTGTGCTTAATGGCTTAATAAAATTATGATATTCTTTGGAGTACAGAATGTTTTTAAACAGGCTTATATAAAAACAGTACAATGTGGCGTGCAAACCGCGTGTATATAACAAAGCATTATTCATTGCACTGCTACGTCGTTGCGCATCGTTAACGTACTCTCAGATACTGGAGTATTAATATACGTCATTATAGAAGAGAGGAAAGAGAGAGAGAAATGAGGATGTTCTCTGTGGCTAAAATAACTTGAAAGCGGTCAGTTGATAAAGCAAACGCCAAAGTGATTATATCGAAAAGCTAAAGTCAATTGATTTAATTCGATTGTACGTCTATGATTCTCTAATAATTATGATATATTTTCTCTTCTTGAAATTGCGTTGAAATTAATTGGATAAAAAAATATTTCATCTTTTATCGTATTTTTTGCTGTGCATATAGTAGCATTATCAAAATTTATCGTTAGAGATTGTTCTATCGGCATCGGCGCGACATTAAGTTCAGACTGACATGTGTATTTTTAAACCAGAGATAACTTTAGCTAAATAAATTTATTCGATTTAATAACAATCTCTTGACAAATATCTCTACTTACAAAACTCATAAAAAAATATACATATTATTATATCATATTTTAGCTAATAGCACAAAATGTTGAGTCTAATAATAATTGTTACACAAGAAGTGATGTAAAATGAAATTAATTAAATGCTGTATAATAAATTAACCCTTTAATTAAGAACCTACTAATATAATTATTGCACGATAAATAGATGATTTATCGATTAATATATTTCCGGATTATTTTGCGATTGAGTGATTGCGATAAAGATAAAATAAGCTATATAAAAGATTTTTTGTCTCTTATTCTTCAACTGTATGTTTTATTCATTCGACGCTTCCAAAAGCAACAGCGAATTTTTATCGTGCTCCAACATGAAGAGCGACTCGATCGATCGACAGTTTAAAGTGACTTGTTACTCCAAGATGAACAAATAATTAATTGTGAGAAGAAATTCGTGGAATGTATGTCGTATAGAACGTAAACAGGTCTTGTGCCAAATATATCTAATCTGGAGCACAATCGACGTGGCTAAAAAAAGTTCAAGAGGTGAGTAGTGATCATCATACTATTGACAAATGGTTTATAAATCAGATGCTCGTGCCATTTCTGGTATTTTTACATTACATCGATATGAAAAAAGATCTCTTTTTCTTCCATAAAAAAAAATATATATATATATATATATTTTTTTTTTTAATTGCATACACATCTTTATCTGAAATATGTATATATTTTATTAAAATTCACGTGTGTGTTTTATGTGTGCAAAACACTATGCAATTTCGTCCTAATAAATTCATACGATCCTTTGTTTAATCAGCAAATAAAGCGTGATATATTTCCAATTATCCGCATTTCGATGCGCCTACGTGCCTGCGTGAATATTATTTCGCCGCGTTTGTTATGTCGGTCATGTGTTTCCACGTGAAAGCAATGACTTCAAGGCACCTGGGAGCAGCCTAACATCTTCTTATTATATGCTGAGGAGTTACTTTCGCGCGACGAGAGAGTGTCTTATTCGCACAGTTGAAATGGTACACGTCATCATTCTGTTCTCCAATGAGACTTGTCCACGTTGGAACTTTGACTCGAAGATAGGCGCGCACAGTGTCTCTTTCCTTCCTTCTTTCATCCTCTTTTTATACACTGCTGACGTCATCAAGAACACGCGCTCTCTTGTGCAATCAAGAATACTTTCGGTCTAGTTTGGAATTCGCGTTGCAAAATAAATCTGCATTTTTTAATATTTTAATACGCACAAAACACTTTTTTTCTGAAACTTGTAATTTTTTCTCTTTTTCAACTCCAATGAAATATTTTATAAAATAATTACCGCTAGATTTAAATAGATCAATTGTATTGAAACAATAAAAAATTTTTTTAGTAATTAATTTTTTTCAATTAAATTCTCTTAATTTTGCAATAGTCAGTTCAATTTTTTTGCAAATAATATTTAAAAATTTTAAACAATTACATATAATGAATTCTTCGAATCAGTTTTTTAAAAAACTAGATCGAAAAGTAATTAGATAAAAAATGAATAAAGAGCACATTCGACAGAATATTGTATCACTATTAGTGACTTTAATAAAATTGTTAGAATTGCTGTTTTTACCATAATATTTTTTATTGTGTATTTCAACTATTTTTAACTTTATCATGCAATAAAAAATTACGGGTTTTTCCACAGATGCTAATATATCAAACAGTTGTTTGATAGTTTCATATTCATTTTTTTTTTTATTTAAAAACTGAAATTGAAATATCAGCTTAATATCGAAATATTGTATTCGTGGCACAAAATCATATCTCTCAATAAAATAAATTAATCAATTTGTTTTAAGTAACTCGTGACATCATCCAATTTCTGTTTCCGTCCATTCTATTTTTAACTTACACGATTGCCGCGATAAGCAACTCGTTTCATTTAGAAATTGATTGATTAAATCCGCAAAAACACCAAAGGAAAAACGTCGAAAACAAAAAATATATTGGAACCATTGCACGTAGAATATTCTATCAACACCAGAAGCTCCCATCATAGTTGTTAACAATTTAAAATTAATTAATCACCAAGACATCATCATCGTCGCGTTCTGCTGAATACGTTTCATTTAGAAATCGACAGAATAAATCCTCAAAAAATCCCAAAACGTGAAAAAATATTGGAACCATTACACGTAGAATATTCTATCAACACCAGAAGGTCTTATCATAGTTGTTAACAATTTTAAATTAATTAATCACCAAGACATCATCATCGTCGCGTTCTGCTGAATACGTTTCATTTAGAAATCGACAGATTAAATCCTCAAAAAATCCCAAAACGTGAAAAAATATTGGAACCATTGCACGTAGAATATTCTATCAACACCAGAAGCTCCCATCATAGTTGTTAACAATTTAAAATTAATTAATCACCAAGACATCATCATCGTCGCGTTCTGCTGAATACGTTTCATTTAGAAATCGACAGAATAAATCCTCAAAAAATCCCAAAACGTGAAAAAATATTGGAACCATTACACGTAGAATATTCTATCAACACCAGAAGCTCCCATCATAATTGTTAACGACTTTAACTTAATCAGCCACCAAGACATGATCGTCGTCGTGTTCTGCTGAAACGCAGACGTTCACGGTTCTCACTAATCCCGCCGTAAATCGGCACCCACTTACTGCTTAAGTCTGGTTAACAGGAAAATCGCTTGATCTCGCGCACACAATCACCAAACGGAATTCGAATTCCTCGCGATCCTCTCTTTTCGCAAAATGTCACACTGACCTTGAGTCGAACTTGCTGCCGTCCTGCAGCGTGCCGGTGTAGTGCATGGTCAGCTGGTCGCCCTTCTTCGACCTGACGTCGCATATCTCAGGCATGTACATCTTGTCCACCTTGAGGCCGTTCTCGTCGGCCCCGCAGAGAGCCACAATCGCCACCGCGAGCAGAAGAGCGTTACGGCACATCGCGAGCACGACACTCGCGCTGTTCGATGTGTGAGAGGCCATGTTCATCAGTCGACGGGTGCTCGTGAGCAACTGACTCCTCGCAGCGTTCTACGCCGGCGAGCCGCCTTCGGTTTCCCCATTCCATTCCGCCGTACCCAGAGCGCTGACGCCGTGCTCGGGACAGAGAACGGGACCAGCGGAACCAGACCAGACGAGGACGGAGAACCCGTGCCGTCACATTGCGCCGTCTCAATGGCCTCGCGGAATATGTAGGTCTCTCTACCTCTCGGGAAAGTCCTTTTCTCTCTCTCTATGCCTCTGGGCTTCCGCTCGCGACTTCTCGCTTCACGGAGAGAGAGCGCCTCGACTCTCCTCGTTCGTTTCATTTCACGTGGATCTCACGCGTCTCTTCCTCTCGTCGCTTATATATGTGTGTGCTCCACATCTCCGTCCCTTTCATGGTTGTATTCCAGAGTGCGAAGAGCGTCTCTCGCTCCGACCTGATTTTCTTCCTGCTTTCTCTCTCGCCGCTTCTCCACGTTCTCATCTCTCTTTCTCGTCGCCAGCGCGAGAGACGTCTTTCTCGTCTTGCTTCCGTCGGTGGTGTATATCACTAGGAGTCTGCGGCTTGCGCTGCACCCATCAGATCTAGGGGTGTTCTCTTTCATCCCTTCAGTCCTGTCTTCCGCACCTACGCGCGTCGTTGCGTCTTTCGTTACTCTCTCTCTCTCTCTCGACCCACCTTTTCAACCCCTTTCGCGCACGATTACCGATACAGGGGAATGCGACTCGCGCTCCGATTTTCACGAGATTCCACAGGTTCATCGAATCATGTATAAGCGAATGTTCGGCGAGGAAACCATTCTTTGTCGACGGTGAATCGAATTAAGGAATAAACTTCAGCCGAGAGAAATGTTAAACTTCACCGACGCCGATGGAGCCTATTAAAAATATATCGAGAACTTCGCTCACAAGTTTTTCTCATGCCAGATATAACCGTTCTCCGGTAGTAAGCTATTTAAATAAAGATTTCTTTTTATATTCAGATCAAATTTCTCAGGGATTTCTGTATTTGTTAGTTTTAATTAATGGATCATACAGGTAGTATTTACTCTATAATTTATAATATTAAGATATATCGTTTCATTTAATCATCCAAAAATTATATATTTAAATATATAATATTTTAAAAATTTAGCTGTAAATTAATATATATATATATATATATATGTATTTTTTTATATTTATAATTCTAGTTACATTTTAAAAATAATATATCATATATATATAATTAGTTTTTCTCTCTATTTCACGTTCAGTTAAATATGTTACATGCATGTAAAAGAGTAAATGTTGAAGGAAAACTACGAAATATGAATGTAGGCCAGCACGATGGTGAAAGAAACGTATGTGAAAGCGCATTTGATTCGTTTCCCCTGGGATTCCATTCGATTTTGTCCACTTCGTCAAGCGGAGTTGTCCCTTTTACTTTATTTTCTTTTCGCGCAATCTTTGTCTCGTAGAGATCCCGCGTATTCATCTATCGCTCTTTAATTTCGTTCGCCGTCTCTCAACAGCCGCGCCTCGCGTTACATGTCATCCTGATCTCGTCGTTTATCACTGATGTCATCGTACCGCTGCTATGAAGCGCATCCGAGCGTTGCAATGCGCTTCCTTCCTACGCGGAGGAGAATTTCGTGGCTGTTTTGCGAAAACGCATGGATGTTTTACGGCGGTTGAAACTAAACGGTCGCTGTATTTTTTTTTTCTTTTTTTTTTTTTTTTTTTGCGACGAAATCTCTGGCTTAATATTTTGCTCGAGGTCGGAATATTAAGCTACGAGTTTTCAATTGGTTCAATAAAAAAAAATCCCATTCGCTCTACGCGATAACAAAATTCATCTCTCGATGAATTATTTATGGGAGATTTCACGTACTAGTATGTAAATGCAATTCGCTGAGATATGTACATCGAATTCGCTAACTGTTACACTAAAATTTCCGGAAAGCATGCGCGTTTGAATAGTGATAGGCGGGATCGATCAAAGATTGCTTTTGTAATGGAATTTTGCGAATTGAAATTTTTGCTGCCAATATATAGGCGCAGTTATAGAGATTAACGATAAAATCAAATAATTGTCATATTACTGAAATATAATTAATGTACTATTAATATAATTAATAGTTTTTAATTATATTAGAATTTAAATTTATGTTTCATGGTTTATATATTATAATTAACATAATTAAAAATACAGAATGTATGCATATGTATAAATATTGTGAAAAAATATATTCTTTTGAAATGACAGAAATCTTTGTTTGTATGAATAATGAAAATTAAAATTTATATGTATAAACTATATTTATTAAAATTATTTTATATGCAAACGTAAAAATTTTTCAATATTTTAGAGACAAGAATTATATTTCCGACACACAATAGTTTAAAAAAAATTTCAAAAAAACCTGACCTATTCTGGTTAGATAATCTATTCTATCAGAGCATATAAAATTCTGGAATTTTACGTAGGAAAAATTTTCAAGTGTTTTATCGTTTCTCTTTACTTTAAAATTCGCTCATTTGTGAATGAACACGATACTTGGTACAAGAAAGAAACGCAAACGGGTTTATCGTGAGTCGTGTGTTCACAGTCCGGTAAACGATGGAGCGTAATATCATGAATAGCCATTTAATTAGCATTTTAAATAGCGTTTAAAAAGCTTTACTTTTTAGCCAATAGCAAACTGTTTTGAACTTGACGTATTAAGCGCTTCCATTGGACTTTAGAATACTCACATTGATTGACAAGCAGGAGTTTCAAACAAAGCAAAACTCTGTTGCGCAGAATCTTGTTATCGGAGCAATCGCAAAGGGAGTTCTTCAAATATTAATTGTTAATAGAGCTTTTTTATTCTTCGCAGTTTATTTATATAAATTGTTAATATATATCTAATTTCGCGTAAATTCTCGTACTCTTACATTTATACCATAAAACTTTGGAAATATTCACTAGAAGAAAAAGCACTCACAATGTTAGATTTATAAACTTTCTAAGAGTAATATTCTCTGTTTTTATAAATTATTAGATACTCACTTTTACAGCTCATTGTTTTATAAAATTTTTATTTTAGTATATCTGTGAATATATAATTTTTTTAATTTATAAGCTTTTTACTTTTGTGAAAATCTGTGTTATAATCATACGTTTGTAGAATTGATAATTAGTTGATTATTTAAGTTATACAAACCTATAATTAATTTAAGAAATTATAGCTTCATTATTTAATTTTTACTAAAATTCTTTATTATTTTATCACATACTATTCATAAATTTGTTAAAAAAAACTTGAAATTTATAATTTTGATTGACTGATAATTTTGTATTCTATGCTATTTTAATTTTATTTTTCTCAGAGCAATAATTGAGTTTACCAAATGTAATATCACAAAGTTTCGCGTACGTAAATTTTTAATTTTAGAAATGATTGATTTTTGCAGACAATCAAAAATCAAACGTTTTAATCGGAACTCTTCCATAATTGTTTTATCTCTAAAACAATTATACGTGATTCGTGATTCATGTGTCACCGAGAAGAGAAAATTAGTGTCTCTATTCTTTAAAATTTTTACATTTTTCATCTTTTCGTGCAATTTTTGTTATTTTCACGGTATTCTTATATCTCTCACATAAAATACATTGAAGATTCTTGTAAAGAAACTTTCACAAATTTATTTTATTTATCACATACAAATTATAAAGGAGAAAGAGGGAAAAAAGAAATCAGATACGCTCTAATGTTAATACTAATTTTTAAAAATCAAAAGTGTATATTATATCTTAACTTTGATATTTTAAAAAATCGTAAAAATGTGCGATTTTTCGAAAATTCGCGAGAATACTTTATCTTGATTTTGTAGTCAGTATGTTTTGAAGATAAGACGAGACGTTAGCTGCGAAAATACATTTGTGTGTGCTTTTTTACGCTTTGACGGAAGAGAGCAAATCCGTACGCTCGTTTCACGACGACGACGACGACGATGTCGTAGTAGTTTGTAGCGAAAAGCGAAAAGTCGAGCGCTCTACGTACACACTCGTTACATCGAGCGTGACGGACCACTCAGACCAAGTTTACATCTTGAGAAATGCTCGCAGAAATTGCAGTGAGCTCTCTGACCTCGACCTCGCCATGACGCAATGATTCGAATTACGTCTCTTCATGCATACAAATCACAAGATTTGTAACGGCACTGACTTGCGCGACGCGAATAAGAAATATTAAGCTTTAAATGATATTGCTTTCACGAAAGTAACGTCGTATAACAAATATGTTTGATGATGATTGAAACGCTTGACGTAAGATATAATTGATTGGATAATCAATTCAACGTCAAAATATTTTAACGTGATTTTAAGATCTCTTATTCAATATTTTGAATGTTTACATGTTTTATTTCAGAAGCATTATCACGCTATCCCTTTCACGTATATTGCGTGAAACAAAAATAAACATTTTGTAGATTTAAAAAAAATATATAAATGTATAATAGATTCTCAATTCAACATTTTTGCATGGGAGGAGGCAAATTGCAATTTTATAAAAAATTTTGAACGTATATACACATTCACATTATATACTTTACAAAAAGCAATTATTTTCTGAAATCAATAGACTCAAGCGTAAATGTAGTAGAAAGTTCCAAAAGCTCGTATAACGACGCTTCTAGTTAATCCACGCCCTAGCTGCTTAACACATGGAAATTAATAATGAGACAGAATGGAAATCCTGGAGCGATAAGCCCTGGATCTACGTAACTCTATGTGGATTATGCAGCGACGCGCAGCCACCGGTTCGAATTGAACGAACAATCGAGACACAAACATAGAATCGAAGGACTCATTTAATCCACAATTGTAACAGCTGTTCTATTTTTGAAATATTCGAAAGTAGAAATGTCTCTCTTTTTCGAAATGCGTTGAAGATTTTTTAATTCTTTGACAAGCAAAAAATTTAATCTCTTAATAGTCATAGAAAAGTAATTTCTTTTAAAATAATTCTTATTATGTTTATTTACAATGCTACGTTACTAATTTTTTTTTGCAAA